GGAAAATTTTACATAAAAACCGTTTTATTCATTTTTGAACATTTTATTTATTTAGATGACATTTATTCATTCAATTGATATTTATGCTCTTTTAATTTAGTTACTTGTCATTTTTCTTATTTGAACACCAAAATAAATATCAGTTATCAATCAACAAATGAGAAATCAATAACAAAGTAAATCAACTCTTGAAATCATTTCATTTCATTGCCATTATGCTCTATGAAGAGTGAGGCGATTACTGAAGATGATGATGATAATTTTTTGTTTTGTTTACAATCGAAGATAAATCAATGTAATAGGGCAAACACAAGACATGTCTCAGATTTAATTTGTGTAAAAGAGTTTATTTACATAAACATTTTATAATGTACATGTAGATTTTCATAATTTTCATAAATCACTGTTTTAATCAAGTTTTTATTTGATGTTTACATTTACATTTGCCTCCTTTGAAACTTTTGGTGCAATGGTTAATTAATCCAAGGTAATTTTGTCCTACTAAAACTTACAGTTGAAATGTTGTCATTATGTGAAGCATTTGCTTTCTTGGAATTTAGTTTGCGTGAAAAATAACTTTATCAATTTTAGTAAAAGAAATACTTACCATTACGTTTTAATTTTTTGAGACCCAGCAAGATAAAAAGAAAAATCATGCAATTAATTTCTAATGATATGTTTTTACAAATGCGCCAAATTTATAAGAGGGCAAAACAAAAGAAGAATTGGTAAGACCTCCGACTTACAATGTATATATTTTTTAATAAGAAATGTAATGGAATTTTTTTTTTAGAAAAAAACTTTATAGTTTTTCTTAAAATATTAACTTTTTCTGTCTGTGTATGATTTTTATAGTTACATGACCTTTGATATACAGCATATACTTAGACATATTAATGTAAAAATCATGCATTTATACTTTGGCATACAATAAGTATCTGTTGCACGTCAAATTATGTGAACAAAAATGTAAAAAGAAAATAAGTTATTATAATATAAGTCAAATTCTCATAGTTATTTTTTCCATTTATGGCGACCATCCTGATTGCAATCTTGGATTTCTCTGATTTCTCTGATCGCCACCATTTATGCCAATTTATGCCGGCAGTTGTGGAAACAACAAACGTTTGGGAACATTTTGGTATATGTCGTGCCTTGTTAATAATGGGTTCGTGTTCACTTTTCTGAATGGCCTTATTTCACCGTAACATACGCTTTTGCAAAGCGATAAAGTCATCTGAATACGATATCTTATATTGTATAATGACGTCCGTGTTATATTTAAAGTACCTTTTATCCTTTACAATCGGATCTCTACTGTTAAAGCCAGGGCGTATCGAAAGAATTGAAGTGTGGTGAATTCTCCAAAGCATGTGCGGTTTATATATTAAACTGTATATGGGTGATACATCAACATAATTACTAGGGCAATACATAGGTCAGTTTTTAGACAAGATTCCATTGAGCTATGTGTATTGTCTACTTCTATCTGGCCGTGACAATTTTCTGAGAAATTTTAGGTAATTTCTTCGTTATATGTTGCAGATTTATGAGTAAAGCATTTGCAAATGTTTAATTTTGATTCTGATAGAATGCCACATCCGTCACTGAAAATGATGTTCATAACAAAAACATGAAATATGCCTTGTTAGCTTTGTGTCCAAGTTTGCCATAAAAAGGCATGAAAAAGATGGTTGTTAAAGATATTCCCCTTACGATCACGGACATGACATTGACATTTACATTGTTACAAAAAATGTGGAAATGTGTATATCTATTTGCAAATAAAGAGGTCAACATAATTGTTGTTGAAATAGTTCATGTAAACATTTAAGATTTGTTTTTTTGATATATGATTTCGAGGTTAATATCATTCTGAAAAAAGTGATAACACGTGATTATGCATTTTTTATTATTCCCCCTTAGTTTCGTATATCTGTTATAGATACAATTAAGGTTTTAGGTACTTACTGCTTTAAGTCATCACACACTTATTTATTTGCTTGGTGACATAACTTGCAATCACGTATATTAAAGCCTTTGAATAAATTGAAGTCATCGTTATTGCGTTTTTGCCCTACGCAGAATGCGCATGCGCGGAATGTAACATTCGTTACTATGGAAAATCGTATTGTAAAAAGGTCTATAGGACATATCATGCTACGGATTTTTTCTCGTACCACGTGACGGAACAGTACAATATAGTCACATTTGACTCGGAACATACGAATTCCGAGACCGGGGAAACGGAAAAAATGCTTTGGGTTTAACTAAATGTTATAATTGATTAATTATATAATAAATATAAAAAAAACAATATATCAGTTTAAACTCAAAATTTGATTAGGTTCAACTCATAAAAGTAAGATACATGTATAAGCGTCTTGATATTTCTGTTATATAAAAGAGAGATACATGTATGAGTGTCGTAATATTTCAGTAATAAAAAAGAGAGATCCATTTATAAATATCGTGATATTTCTATTATATAAAAGAAAGTTATATTTTATTATATGATTTAAATCTAGCTGCAATCTCATTGGCCGAGAACTATTTATAAAATCATATTAACTTGGTGAAGTATCATATTCACTGGGTGAATTGGATTTTTCAAATCTAAAAATAGATTGAGACTCAGTATCGTAGACTGTAAATTACTCTTGCACATAAGAAAATGTTGTATTTTGTTCTACATGTCATATTTCTCGATTAAAATACCATTACTTTACTATAATAGTTAGAAGTTGCATCGCAATGACGTGTATAAACTTGAATTACTTTTGTTTGAACGCCTTACATTATTTGTTTACAGAGCGTCTTTGTTTCCTGGGCTTCAATGAAAACAGGCAAAAGTGCTGTTTTGTAATTGCTTACACGGCTTTACTTTTTGTATGTCTCTTTAATCTTCATCTATTCACATAATAAAAACAATTATTGACTAGTGAGCCAATTAATATGATGTGATATTCAATGACTCACTAGTATATTATTGTATAATAAGTATCGTGATATTTCTATTATATAAATGAGAAAAACATGTATACGTATCCTGATATTTCTGTTTCCTGTGATCACTATACATTTTATATTGATAAAATGTCTCTTTAAAGACTTTTAAGACTGGCATTGCATTTCATTAATTGAAGTGTAATATTAATGTTATTTTATACTGCATACATATATGAGTCTATAAATAAATATGATTTAGGACATTGATGTCGTTTTTATACAAAGGATTCAGATATAACATATGTATTTAATTTCGAACCGTGACATAGGACAATATAAATGATTAAAAAATAAAAGAAAAAAATTAATAACAACAAAGGAGCTGTCATAACTTTGTCCAGATGCATAATAACTGATAATATGATAACTGTGTTATATAACTGATTCCTGCCTGTAATACGAGACAAAGGTCTGACAGACAAAGGTCTGAGATATTTCCAAACATTTAATTTATCAAATGGATTGAATTGTTAAAATTGTTACATTATTGTACTTTACATTATTGAATAATTTATGCTTCAAGAATAAAATATCATGTTGTAAAAATATATAGTTTGGAAACATCTTAATTGAAAATGTGTTAAAGATAAATCGTTCACCAATTAATACACAGTGCATTAACTAGATAACATGTATAAGTTTAATACATGTTTATTTTGTTAAAAATTACTTCATCAAAATGGGTGCTGTATGAAAAGGAATGTGACTTGTTTTCTTTATAAAAAAGTTTAAAAATTTTTAAAAAGCCCTTCAACGTAAAATTGGGTTTTGGGTGACATAGGGTTTTAGGATATTTTTATAAAAGATAAGACTCGTGATAAAAACCCAATAAAGTAAAAAATGAAAGTGTAAAAAAATGCTGATAAGTTTTTGGAAAAATCCCTACTGTATGGTAACTAAATTTTATTTTCTAAACCAAAATTTTGAAAATTTTGGGCGGAATAAACTTAAAAATTTTAAATTAAATGGTTTGTTCTAAGCCCCTGATTTCGGGGAATTTAAGGGGAAAAAAAAAAATGACCTTGTCTAAACATGTACACATGTTTATTGATTTATTGAACAGAAACGAGGTTTTATACCGTGACATAGGACAATATAAATAAAAAATAAAAGAAAAAAATGCATATCAAAAAAGGAGCTGTCATATATTTGTCCAGATGCATATTATGTATTGTGTTTCATAACATGTAGCTTCAAACTTTTTATCATAAGTTTGAAAATGCCGCGCAGTTAACGATAGGATGTTTAAAATCAAAAGTATGAAACCCGATAATTATTAGTTTTTTTTAATTTAAATTTTTGGAAAATTATTTTATGTATGCTATCTGAATTTTACGCGAGTTAAAGATGTATTGGTTCTTTGTTTAAATATTTTTCGAAAAAAATATATGTAAATTTGTAAATAAGAAACGAGGATGTTGAATTCCGCCATGTTTGTTTTGTAGTTTTAATATTTCAGAAGTCAGAAAAAATGTGTTAACCGGATAATAGTTTAAATCATCTCGATATATAAACAGTAAATAACACAAGTGTTTATACAGATACACGTTAACATAGAAGTTGATTAATAAATTAGATAAGTAACTATGTCTTCAACAGGTACCGAAAACTACAGTATAATTATGCTGACATTAATGAAAGGTGGAACAAAACTAACAAGAAGACTTGTGGAGAAAACAGTTAAAGATATTAGCAAGAATTGTGGAGAAGATACTATCGATGAATTTTTGATAAAAAACAAATCTTTGATATTAAAACAGAAATTGGGAAAGAACAAGCAGGATGTGTTTTTTCCATCGTCCGGACACACGAATCTAGATAACTGGGACCTTTGCATGTTCTGTTTTATTCTAGAAGAAACGTGTGGTCTGACATATACTATGAAGATGTTATATCAAGAAGCTTTTAAAGATCAGAAAACAAACTTTGTCATTCAAATGACCCAACGTTTAGAAACGAAGAAAATTCGAGAAGTATACTGAACAAATGAAATGCTGCTTTGAATACTGTCTGAAAGAGATCAATGATGAAAAGTTTACGGAGGAAATAAATGCACTTGTTCAGATCATTAGCCACTGGTCCTTTGTCGCCACATGATTTGCTACAAGCTGTTCATAAGCTTTACTTTATAGAAATGACAAATAAAGAAGTCTTGGAAAAAATTGATAATGGTAAATGTAGCTTCCCAATATCTTTTAGCAATATTTAAGATATCTTTTACAATTTTGTACAAGTAATATAGTAATTCTTATTGAAAATATATAACTCTGAATGTCTGAAAGTATAATATCTTTGTTTCTCTTAATTTAACATCAAAACAATTAATACTTGATATCCGTCTTTTTTACTTATGCATAGGCCAAGACTTGACACATGGAAAGCTTGACACACTTATTGAAAAGGTTGACAGACTTGATTCTCGTTTGCCATCTGGAGCTTCTGTGGACATTCCAGGTAATTAAAAAAATTAGATTGTTTTCATATCAAATCTATACATAAAAATTCAGTCCCAAAATTTTTTATTGTGAATGAATGTAATAACTTCAGTCAATATGCTTTTTTTTGGATATTGTTTGAAATTGCTCTGCAACCTTAAGATATAAAATTTGTTTTAAGTAAAAAGGTCCTAATACTTATCCCTCCCAACTTAACCCCTACAGGCTCCATAATTAAAATATAGAAAAAATTCCTCCGTCAAAGAAAAAAACTTCACCGCCCGCCCCTCGAACATAGTAGAATGTAATTTTTATATTACATTTGAAGTTTTTAAATAGTTTTTAAAACAATCAACTAACCCGTGTATATAATAAAAGTTTAAAAATAGATAATATTTGGGTTTGACATTTTGCCTCTATTTAGGTCAAGTACAGTTTACACATGAAGCAACTAATGCATTTATATTCCTTTTGCCTATACAACCTTATTCTAAATGTTCACCAAAAGTTTTAATGAAGATCAGTACTGTTATTAATCATTGGATTTCCCACATTTGGTACAAGTTAACTTAAGTTTAAATATAACATTTTTGGTCAATATTTTGGTTTATTTTTTGGGAAAAGAACGGAATCTTGAAGGGCTTGGTCTTTTAAACCACTTTAAAATCGCAATGCCTGGTTTTTTCTGTTACCCGAAATGATTACGCTGAAAATAAAAGGAACATGGTTTATAAGTAACACCTGTATTAACTTCCATGCAAAAATATCAGTCATTTTTATCATTTCAATTAAATTTTGATAACAAGTCATATTTACCCGAATACATTTGAAAATATTATTCAATCATTAATTTCTAATAACGTACGTCAATAATATGCAGGTATTGGAATTGTGATTGACGTAAAAAATTGTAGTGCAGAAAAAAAAAAAGAAGTTTTAGATATTTTAGAGAAAAACTTCATCAAGGCTATCGAACAGAAAGTATCAAGTCTAGAAGAAAGTCTTCCAAAGGGTGTTCTGCATACATTACGGGAAAGCAGTTGCACAAGTATTCTCAAGAGTTTTTTTATCATGGGAAGACGTTTTAAACATTTGGTGGAGCAAAAGTGGGTCCCTGATGCTTACAATAAAATGGTACAATCAGTAAAAAGCGCTTTGTCCCAAAATGATCCGCGATTACAGAATGGAGAGCTCTCTTTTTACAGCTTCAACCATTGAAACGGCTATAAAGAATTTGCCAAAAAGGTTGTGGCAATGTACAACTTGAAAATCGTCAATCTTTAAAAGAGGAATTCAATGGAAGTCAATGGATAACATAGGTAAAAAATGAATCTTGAATTACCAAAATATACTTCATTTATTATTATTAAACTTTAATCCTTTTAAATTTCTGCGGACATTATGTTGAAAAGCAATTTGATTTTTTTCTTAACACCATTGGTGCCAAATATAAAAATATCTATTTTTTGGAAACAGACGGGGAATCTTTCCCAAGGGACTGGCCTTTTAACCACTTTAAAAAATCGGATGCCTTAAACCACAAACTTTAAAGAATTTTTTTTATTTTAATTAAATACTGTAAGATATAGTACATTATGTTTCATATAAATTTTAGTTTCCAAATTATATGAACGAGTTCAAAAAACCGAGTACACTACCATACAAACAAGTTTTCAAATGGCAGATAATTCCATTCGTGTAAGATCTAATTTCCTACCACTATCTGAAAGGGAAACAGTACAAAAACATTTAAGAAACTGAAATGTTTCGGAAAGGAATGAAGCGCATTGAATCAGAACTAAGGCGAAAAGATGAACGGTCGAATATGTCATTAACAACAAAACTTGTCAAAGATGATGCTGTATCAAATTTCGGTGATCATATTGTTTTTATAGAAGTAAACGTGTTGCCAAACTTTGGTAATTAATGAATGGATTATCTTCAATTTCTTCATAATTTTATGTTGAATTCTGCTTAAGCCGGTGCTAAAGGGTGCGTGGACGGTAACTTGCAACTTTCCAGACTGTACATGAATGTCTCAATCCAAACATTTTACAATTTTGCCCGTGTTGGGCTTTTTACCTTAGGGGATTCTTGGTTTTTTCACTATTTCCATACTTGGACAAAATAACCTTTGGATAAGACCCTTTTAAAAAGGGTAGAACTGACCTTGAACTTGGCCTTTAAGATGACCTTGGCCGCCAAGGTCAACGTAATTGAATTTTGGTTAAATTGTCATAGTTTTGTTCTTTATGTACATATTTTTTATTTATAACAAAGACCAAACAAATATATTGAATAATTAGATATTACCTTGACATTGGATTGACTTGACCGTAAATGTTAAATAAAATGTAAATTCCCTTGTTTTTCCCCTGTAACTTGCTATCAACTTTGTTATTTTTATTGATGGATTAACTTCATGTTTAGACACAACATATTTAAGGTCAGGACCTTCATGTATATTAAACTCAAAATGACTTGACTCATGTACGACCTTGATCTTGAAGGTCAAGGTATTGAATTTTCAGTCATAATTCAGTAACTGACTGTAACTTGGTTAGTTATCAATTATCTTTATACTTGGAAAAAGCAACCTTTTGGGCGTTCTCAAAGGTAGAACTGACCTTGACTGAAAAATAGATTTCTACATATTTGCTAACACTGCCTTTATTCATCATGGTCATCTTTGCTAACAATAGACTTCCTACACTTTTTCATACATCTTTTTTCCTCCATCCTACAATGTACAAAATTTTTATATTTAGCGTCTAGCTGGCTTTAAAAAAAAAAGGTTAAATTATCACGTTTGTATCATGTTCTTAAGAGGGTATTGTTGTTATAAGTGTAAAGGGAGATACAAATTAATTTTGTTGGCATTTTGAACACAACAAAGAGACACATCAGTTGTGGATGGAAATTCCACAGTGGAAGAAGAAACCAAAAGAACTTCAGTGTAGTCCCTTCAACATTCAAAGGGTAATATTTTCATTCCAAAATATTATGGAAATTTGTCTGAAAAGTTGCTTCTATGATTTTTAGGTCAAGTTCAAATAAGAGTCATCTAGCTCATACAGTCCAAATTATAAAAGTCGTTGTAAATTCTATATAGGTAATATTCCAGAAAATTTGTCATATAGGTTGCTATCTTGATTTCTACTTTGAACATGAATCATCTAGGGTCAAAAAAGACCATAGAGTCCAAATACGAGTATATGAAAACACCTTGTTAACACTATAACTGTAATCTTTTAAGCCGAAATGTCCTGGAAATGTATGGACAATACTGTAAAGGTAGCACACTTTCAGATTAATGGTGATTTTCATGTATTTGAAAATAAAACATTGTACAGTGGGACAACGATACTTACAAATTACAAACGGGACTTACATTTACATAAATTACCAAAACAAAGAGGTCCAAACATGCAAAATATGCATCCCATACTACGTTAGTCAGCGCAGTAGAAATATGGTGATGAATATTGCAAAACAGTCATTTAATCGCACATTAACAATAAATAATCATTTTGCAATTGCTTTTCATTCATGGTAAAAAAATATTATTCTGCCTTGTCATTAAGAGCCTAAATATGTAGGTGATAAAATATAAGGGCCCTCTTGTTTCTGATAACTAAAACATCTTGTCTGTCAGCCATCTGGTATATCAATGAATTACTCTATTCTTTCTTTTCTTTGAAGCACAACAAAGTGACACGTCAGTTATGGATGGAAATGCCAACAGTGGAAGAAGAAAACTGAAACTAGACAACAAAGAAGAACGACAGCACTTTCTGAAGAAGAGGATACATCTAACCCTTGTCTAAGAAGAGATTCACAACTAATCTCTGACGAATCTACACTTATCTTCCAAGATCCTGTAGTAAAAACAACGGGGAAAGTAACTCAGACATCATTTCATGAAGGGGATATGCAAATAATAAAGGTTAGCTTAATATTATATAATTGCTTTCTGTTTTGAATTTTCAATATTCTACAGTTGTCTTTTACTATCACATCTGAGCACGTTACTTTATGTAAGCTATTGTGATACCAGTTCCCGTCGTCTGTCATTAACAATTTTACTTGAACAGCATCTCCTTCAAAATTCCATTTATTTAGTTTCCGCCAATTGTTTTCTCGTTTAGGGCACACGCATTCTTTTACTTGGGGACCATACGCCGCTTTTCATGGAGTGACACTACTGAGTCACATTGAATAATCCATGATAACTGCCGTATGAACACATCTGCAGATGTTTCTAAATTCAAAATTTCACCATTTTCGTGTTTAAATGTTGAATTCTGCTTAAGCCGGTGCTATGGGGCGCGGATGATAACTTGCACTTTCCAGTACCGTCCATGAACAGGCTCAATCAAACCGAGCCTGCAACATTTTAATTTTGTCGTGTTGGGCCTTCTTTAGGGATTCTGTTTTTTTTTATTTTATAAAAAAAATGTATATAGCTCAATAGATGTTATTTAAACTACAGAAATGATCAATGGACAGTCTTTTACAAAACTGCTAAAATCGTTTGGGTCTGCTGAACAAGATAGACGCCATTGCAAAAATCAAAGGGCTGCAAGCTCTGTGGTATTTTCTGATCTAAATCATACTGACTATCTGTATGTATTTTCCTATATAGGTTTATTTTTATATATACTATAATTCATCTTACACAGCGACTGCGTTAAGATTTTTTTTCTATAACAGTTTTTGAGATTGATACATATGGAATTTTGCATGACTAGAGTTGCCATCAAAAAAATCATTTTTTATGACACACTTTATCCTTGCATATCGTGGCTACTTCCTTAAAAAAAGACACTTCAAAAAAAAGTTGCCTCGACTAGGATTGAACCTTAGGCCTCTCACACCCTAAACGAGCGCGATACGAGCGCGATACCCCTGCACCACAGTGAAGTAATACGTAATATGTAGCCCTGAATAAAAACAAATACATTGTAATTCAAAATTGAGAATTTCCATTTCGTGTTTGTAATCCTTATCAATTTCGAGGTATTTTGTTCACGATAAACCTGTTTAAACACTGATTAAAAATAATTTATAGCGAAAATCTTCTGGCCAAAACAGTCCGACATGTATATATTTTCCACTACTCGGCCAGTCAGATTTTTTTTATACTACGCCCTGGAGTATTCAGTAATCGACATAGCTAGAAATAGCATTTTCATTGATTAAAATGATATTCATCCGCGAAATTTGTGATTGTAACCTGATATTTCTATTGACTAATCTAAACTTTCAATGCGCACTGTAATTCGTTAAATGCCTACATTAAAAATATTCTGTCTTTTAAACTGCTGGGTTTTAAGCAGTTTTGAGTGAGAACTACTTTGCGTTGTTAGGTCTGTTAGGAAATTTTGTGTTAGACCGTGGATGTTAGCTATGTATTTACTGATCTTGCGATCAGAAAATACAACTAGAAAAAAGTTTAAACGGGATTTACTTCTTATTCATTTTGTTAAATTTTGATGAAGCTCTACATGAAAGATCCTTGGATAGTTTTCCATAAAAACTGCCCAGATGGTTCCGGTCTACTAAACGAGATGGCCACCAGAGCTTAAAATAGATTTTTTTAATAACATGCATTCTTTAACTATTTGGTTGATTTTGATGAAACTATACAACAAAGTTTTTTAGATTCGCCTGTGTTGGGCTTTCTTTAGGGATTCTATATTTATCTATTTTATGATCACATCCGTGTTATTTGTGCCGTGTGGCGGCTGTAAAAAGTCTCCCCGTACATTTAATCAATGATGTTATATTTTCGATCCTTGAAGATCGTTCAGCACGACATTATTGTTGTGCTTGTGGTATTTTTAGTTTCAACTTTTCGGCATTTTCTAGTTGGGTGGTTCCAATATTCCTACTTGAATAATGTTGAATCACCCTTAGGATATGTTGCCTGCTTTTTAAATTTGTCTTTTGACGTCTTATCTGTGATACGCAGGCTTCATAACCTCTGATCCCCTTTCTAAATTCCATTTTATTTAGTTCCGCCCATTGTTTTCTCGTTTAGGGCACACGCTTTTTATTACTTGGGGACCATACGCCGCTTTTCATGGAATGGCACGTAAGTGTCACATTGAAGGTTCCATGATAACCGCCGTATGAACACATCTGCGGATGTTTCTAAATTCAAAATTTTACTATTTCACGTTTAAATGTTGAATTCTGCTTAAGCCGGTGCTAGGGGGCGTGGACGGTAACTTGCACTTTCCAGTACCGTCCATGAACAGGCTCAATCAAACCGAGCCTGCAACATTTTCAATTTTGCTGTGTTGGGCTTTCTTTAGGGATTCTATATTTATCTATTTTATCAAAATATGGGTCAAATGATTCAAAAATCTGGAAACAAAGTGATCCCTCGGAAGCATTAATCGCAACAAAATTACATAAGAATTGCAGACTCGGTTTGATTGAGTCTGTACATGAGGGATAATGAATAAGTGCAACATCCCTCACGCTCTCTAGCACCGGCTTGAGCGGTACTCAATTCTCAACACTTAATAGTGCTGGCATCAATGATCCCGAAGGACCAGAAAAATATAACAACACAGAAGTCAAGTCTGTTGAATATAGTTATGTTACCACGCGTGTGATTATTAAGGTTGATAGTAGTATCATACGTACGGTCTCATATATATAAGCATATGAATATGATTATCTTTCCCTGTTGTCACAATAAGTACACCCCCCCCCACACACACACACACACACACACACAAAAGAAAGAAAGAAATTAGCCAAGCAACGAGCATGCTCTAGAGTGAATGCAGATTACTAAAATATAATTAAAAATAAATGTAAAATTATTAAATAAAATATAATATAAAGATAACGCACTGTTCATGTTTGGGCATAGATTTAAATCTGACACATTTCAAAAGTAAAGCCTCCAAACTATGAAACAACAAAAAATAATATATGATATAATCATTAACACGTAGATCTACTTAAATAAACGGGAAGTAAAATGTTTCTTAGTAAGAAGTACACGCGTGTGATTTTAAAAAAAATACAGCAACCGCCCTTTCATAATGAATTTTCCTAAATTTTTTTGATATAGATAGGCAACATTCCTTTTAGTATTTTTGTTTTGTAATGATTATAATAATAATAATAATAATAAACTTATCTTGGCAAAATGTAAGCGCATGAGTTGAATGTTAATTGTTTTATTAATTTATACACACCGTCTTGACTTTGATACATTTAGATACTTCAAAAAAAATCTGGGACACATTATATAATGTCCCAGTAATAGTTTTAGTTTATTTCTTTATTTTACTCTCAACTTTACATATACATACATATAAAATATAGATATAAAAACCATCAAAAAAAATATATATATATAAAAAACGACGTCTTATTTGCCCTGATGATCATAAGAGAAACCGGTAGGCAAATAATTAAATAAGTTAACTCATGGACTGTGTTTTTTTTTTATTATATATATATATATATATTATATATATATATATATATATATACATACATTTTGGCACAAAAAGCTTCGCAACGCAGGTATACATTTACGAAGAGGAAAAGCATTCACAAAGGCAAATAAAATAACGCATGCACGCGCCGCTGTTGAACGTTTTATAATAGTTAATCGGAGCGTCATGAAAAAAATGTCTTAGCTTAATAACGACCACGATAAATTCATCATCAAATAATACCTGTCAAATTCTATCCCACTTGTTCGTGAAGCGCATTTCAAGCCGAACCGGTTTCTTGATACACATAACAAATAATGAAACGCGAAATCACAAGAATCAGACGAATATTGTTAAACAGGAAAAGCGCTAATACACGTTATTAACTCTCATTAATATCTATAGAAGCTCTCGGAGTTATTAAAGCCCTAGCCATGCAAGATCGGGCTTAAACATACCCTCATGTTCATTGATGCCAGCACTATTGAGTGTTGAGAATTGAGTACCGCTCAAGCCGGTGCTAGGGGACGTGAGGGATGTTGCACGTATTCATTATCCCTCATGTACAGACTCAATCAAACCGTGTCTGCAATTCTCATGTAATTATGTTGTGGTTAATGCTTCCGAGGGATCACTTTGTGTCCAGATTTTTTTTATAAGAATTTAGCAATTCTTACAAAAATCCTATAAAATGACAAGCACGGGTATTTCCTTCACGTTTCAGCGAAGTGTAAGAGCAATTAACATTACTATTTTTGTAGCAAACCGAACCTAAATCAAGTCTGTTTTCTTCGATTTAAAGAAAACTGCACCTTCTGTGAATAAATAAATAAATAAAATAGTAAATAATAGCGAGTGCGCGTGATGCACGTGATTTGGCCTATATTGAGTAAATCGCTAGAATAGTTACATTGTAAAATAGATAAATACTGAATCCCTAAAGAAAGCCCAACACGGCAAAATTGAAAATGTTGCAGGCTCGGTTTGATTGAGCCTGTTCATGGACGGTACTGGAAAGTGCAAGTTACCGTCCACGCCCCCTAGCACCGGCTTAAGCAGAATTCAACATTTAAACATGAAATAGTAAAATTTGAATTTAGAAACATCCGCAGTTGTGTTCATACGGCGGTTATCATGGAACCTTCAATGTGACACTTCCGTGCCATTCCATGAAAAGCGGCGTATGGTCCCCAATTAAAAAAAAAATACGTGTGCCCTAAACGAGAAAACAATGGGCGGAACTAAATAAAATGGAATTTTGAAAGGGGATCAGAGGTTATGAAGCCTGCGTATCACAGATAAGACGTCAAAAGACAAATTTAAAAAGCAGGCAACATATCCTAAGGGTGATTCAACATTATTTAAGTAGGAATATTGGAACCACCCAACTAGAAAATGCCGAAAAGTTGAAACTAAAACTACCACAAGCACAACAATAATGTCGTGCTGAACGATCTTCAAGGATCGAAAATATGACATC